GAAAACCGTAGGAAAGTCAACACTGAAAGAATCCCCCTCCCCTTCCCCCTCCCTTCTCTCTACTCCTGTATCTCTTTTTTCCCTTAATTCCCTTTCCCATCGACAGTGACATGTGCGCCCAGAGCGCAACTGACAACAACGTCGATTTCCTAATAAACATCGCCTTAACAACAAGCAAGGAGAGTGAACATAATGAGCTACGCCTTGCGACGCTCACAGCCGTTAGTGGGCGCGTTAAGCGCCTGCTCCGGAGCGCGAGAGTTTGGCACGCCTTTCACTAAACGGACAGGAGTGCCACCGGAGACTGACACTCGAGCGCGCTCTTCGTGCACCGAGAATTTCTCGGAGCGCGAATGACTTCTTCGCGCTCCGTGACGTCACGTAAACAAACAAGATGGCTGCGCTGCTGTTGAGACCGTCGAGACGAAAGGCATAGCCAGACCGCTGCCCCTTTTCAGTTGATTAGCGCTTGATCCAGCAGGTAAAATCGATTTGATTTGAAAGCCAAGACAGCAATTAGCGTTCCAAGAAAGGTTTGCTCATGCATCTATCCTGAAAAAGAAATTTATCTATCAAACGGTAGCGTGCCGATAGCACAGCGACAGAAAAGTTATCGGGGTGAGACATTCGGACCGCTCTGTCCCTTTTATAATGCTTAGCCCAGCAAATAAACATACTTCGATTTGAAAGCCGAAACATCGGTGAGCGTCGAGGAAAAGGATTGTTCGTGCGTTTTGCCTAATAACGAATTGATCTATCGAACGAGCCTGCCGATAGCTCGGCGACAGAAAAGTTGTGATGAAAAGACAATCAGGCCGCTGCCCTGCTTAGAATGCTTAGCCCAGTTGCAGCGAATAAAGATACTTAGATTGGAAAGCCCAACCATCAGTTAGCGTTGCGGGAAAGGTTCGTTCATGCATACCACCTAGAAACGAATTTACGAACGACGGTGTGCCGGTATCGGCGTGGCTTCCGTCTCGCTGCGAGACGGAACCGACGGCACCAGGGAATCTACAAATGTGAGGGTTTCCTGCGTCGACGAGCTGGTTCAAGAATGTCGTCTTTCATTTAAATCGGAACAGCATGCATGGTCAATGAATAGATCTTCCAAGGTAACCTTCCACATATGTGCACGAAGAGAGTCTTCAAACCTTTTTGAATATTAAAACGTTCGTAGAAACTTTATAACGTCGCCGTCTCTTTTGCTTTAGACTCTGCCGCTCCACACGGGCCTAATTATTTATCTTCGAAATATTTTCGGTTTCTGCCACCCGTATCCACGCTCGGAAGTTCCAAAACTTACTCAATCTAACTCTAGGGTAAAGGTGGTTATCGAAAAGCTACCCGCGTCCAGCGTTTCTCTATTTTTTGTTGTCACGTGACATAATCCACCAGGGTAACTGGGATCCATTCGAGTAGGTTTGGAACGCAGCCTCGGTGTGTCGCGCTCCTGTACGCTATGCGTCGTTTAGTTGCTGCGCTCGGAGTATGAAACTCGGAGCGTCGGAGCAGGATTAAAGGAGCGCCGACTTGAAGCGCGCACTGACTACTATAGAGAGCTAAACCTGTTAGCGAAATGTTGGCTGGCACACTTTGAGCATGTCAGGGGTTCCTTTTCCGAATGTCTCTCCCAGATAATTATTGGAGAGACATACTGTACGATATAATCGTTGCATCCCGTAACGGTAAGCCTGCAGTGACATAAAAACAGGATGTCCCGCTGACGCACGGTCTTCGAAAAAGAAAAGAAAAATCAAGATTGATTACATTTTTTTTTACAGTTGCGACAACGAAGTTAATAAACTTATAAGAATGTAACACGCGCTCGGCACTTATGTAGGATGGCTTTTTTTTTATGTAATTGGAAACGAACAAGTTATTTCGATCTAAAATAAAGGGCTAAAAACGTAGCCAGAAGTGAGTTTAGGTTGAGTTATTTGTTTTAATAGGGCGTTTTAGAGTATCGCATGCTAAAGCTTTGCGTAAACAAAGAACAGAGTCGTCGCCACTGCGCATGCGCCAAACGCTAACCACGTTTAGGGCTTTGCGTGCGCTACTACGGGGTACGCTATATTTCGGAAATTGCGTACGCACGCGAAGAGACTTTGCGCTACTCCAAGGAAGATTCGTGATGAGAAGTTGACTAAAGCCAAGACGAGCACAGTATAATTTTAACTCGTCAACTGTGATGGACATGCCCGATGTAGATCCCTTTTTGCGGGAGAGTTTTAGTATGCAGACTCTGCTAATGCTTTTATAAGGTGTCTTTTCTCGTATGTCTTTTAGCAAAAAGTGTTATCTTTAAGTTCATGCACTTTTCTTCTTTTGCATTTATATATCACGTTTTCATTTTCTTCATAATTTGCATGCGTTTTTGTGTGCCTGCTCTTTATGTAACACTGCATGTATGTGTAAGCGGTGCACATTTATGTAGGCCCCCGGGCTGTTTAGGGGCACCGGACAAGTACAAATAAATAAATAAATAAATATAAAAAATGGCGGCTCTCAGGACCATGGCTGCGGCCACTGTGGCGGCGTCGTGAGCGTGATGTCGGTGGCATCCTCGTGACTGCGATTTTCAATACGGGACGACATTGCACTCGGTTTGGAAAACCCAGTAAGGTGGGCAACGATCCCCGACAATTCGATGCTTGCGACGCGCGAACATTTCTCGGCGAAGGTACGGTGTGCGAAGGTCAGTGCACGGGACTCTTGCCTAGGCGACGGAAGCGGATACGACCGGTCGACAGCTGGCGTCGCATTCCCATGCTTAAACAAATCTAAGAGGTTACTCTGGACCAAAAAACATGTTTTTCTCCTAAGTTACAACATTTAGTGCGTGAAATAAAAATAGTGACTATCTTCGTGGCGTTGCAAGCGTGAGATGCTTGGGCTTTTGCGTCGCGGCGGAAAAAAAAAAAAACGCTATTCTAAAACGTTTTTGCATAGCGTGCGCTAACACAAGCGCTAAATTTAGCCCTGGCGTGCGCTAAAGTTGCGAGCGTTATTCTAAAGCCCCCAATATATTGAAGAAAAAGCCCACGATAAAGCGAGTTAACGAGAAGTTTCTTGTGAAGTTAAAATGTTGACCAAGTTTTCATTTTTTCGCGGCTTGTGTATGTGTATAAATCATTCCGTACAATTTAATGCGGCGTTTCAAACACAGGAGCATGGTGGTCATCGAGAGTGAAGTGTTATCTCTATAATGGGGAAGAAGCAAACCTATAGTAAGAAAATTCTGTTCGTCTTAAGATTGTGTCATTATTTTATTCACAATTAAATTATGGTTATCTTATATGGGGCACTACTACCCATAATTACCTATAAAATATTTGTTTTAAAAAAAAGCTACTAAGAAGCATTTGTAATGCTCAGATTGAATATCCAATTAATAATTTGTTCGCTCAGCTTGGTGCAATAAAAAAAACATTTATACAAATATTGTTTACCTGCAAAGTATATTATAGAAAATAATATATCCCAACGCTACCTCCAAAACTTAGCGAAATTAACACATACACAAAAAAACATATACGTATTTGACACGAACTAAGGAACTTTGGGAAGAACCTTTTTTCAAGAACCAACTACGGCAACAAAACTAAAGTTTATAATTTACTGACTACTCTTAATCAGCTGAGTTGGCAAGATATCGATTCCAAGAATATATCCTGAGCATCTTACGGGAATTGTTTACTTCCAAACCAAATCGCCTACAATAAAAGCTAACTGTTCTTTTTTTCGTGTGTGTGTGTGTGTTTGTTTATTTTTGAGCTCGAATGCATATTCACAATTGTGAGGGTTATGGGTTTCCAAAGGCATGGTAGCGCTTTTTAGACGAGAACAAACGAAAGGAAGACAAGACAGACACGAGCGCTGACTGCACCTATTTAATCAACATGGAAATGAGGCATATATACACTCTTCGATCCTAACAATCGCCAACCCCAGGCCTTGCCGCCACTCGCCATGAATTGCACCTTCTTATCGAAAAGGTCAATGGAAGCAACCCTGACACACCCCATGCACCCCTGTCCTTTTTATCTCGTCCGCTTCGATAATTTTCCTAACCGTTCTATTTTTATGTTTAGCTAGTACTGAGCATGAGTCAAACAACGCTTTACATCACCATGACTGCGGATGTAAACTGTTGTTTGACTCATGCTCAGTAATAAAAATAGAACGGTTAGGGAAATTATCGAAGCGGACGAGATAAAAAGGGTAGGGGTGGGGTGTGTCAGGGTTGCTTCCATCGACCTTTTCGATAAGAAGGTGCAATTCATGGCGAGTGGCGGCAAGGCCTGGGGTTAGCGATTGTTAGGATCGAAGAGTGTATATGTGCCTCATTTCCAATGTTGATTAAATAGTTGCAGTCAGCGCTCGTGTCTGTCTTGTCTTTCTTTCTTATGTCCTCGTCTAAAAAGCGCTACCATGCCTTTGGCAACCCAAGACCAATACCAACTAGCCCAGCATCAGCATTGTAAGGGTTAATTGCTTTATTGTACTATTGCTTAAGTATAGGATTATTTCTTTAGTTTAATAGATCACTTGTGTTTTGAATTGCTTATATTGTTACAATTGTACAAGCTCCTAGCATTTTGTTATCATTGTATAAACTCCTTCGGTGCCTGCATCATGACTCCTGGTTTGGGTGGGTAAAGGCCAGTCAAGCTTTTTTCAGAGCTTTTTTCCCTGGCCAGCCTTCAACATTTCGCTTTGTTGAAAAATAAATGAATTATTATTATTAATATTATTATTATTAACCCTTCTCGTAAACCTTATTACGTTTCACCGGACCAGAATCACTATTAGTCGTCTTCACAGATGAGAGCAAACAGAGATCACCAGTTAAGTCAGGTAATTAGTTCAGAAAAAAACATTCAAAGAAAACTCCCGTAGAAGCCCAGTGTGAACGTATAGCGCACGAACCAGTCTATACTCTTATAAATGGTCTTCTGCTTCTAAATAGAATCATTACTTTGATATTATGGTTTGTTAATCATTTCGCGCATTTCTCCAAGACATATAGAGTCACACTCCAAGACTCAATTGAATAAAGAAAATAAAGGCGAACCCCAATTCACAAGACCTGAGCGCGGGCTGCAAATTAAAGCTCCCATTTGCAGGGTTCAACGTTACCTTTTAGTTGAGGCTCGCACCCTTCAGACGAGAGTGTACAAGGTCACCGGAATCGCGGGATTTTCGTCTTCCGTGCCTCAGAGAAACCAGTTAACGATTCCTGTATCACACCTAGCACACAGCGCCCTATTATGCCCTTTGTTTTGCGAGTAAAATTATTAATCAGTAGCAACCTCACGATCAATATATTATTACTTACCTCATGGTCAAGAAGAACAGGAATGCTATAAATTAAGTAATGGAGAAACACGCGAGTCTCATAGACCAACAGAATTAACCGCGCCGCGCAACTATGAAATAAAATGAGCGCCGACTCGCTCATTGGTCGGGCCCATGGCGCATGCGCTGATCGATCCACGCTAGCCCCGTGTTCCCGCCTTCCGATCAAAACGATCAGATGGGAGCTTGGGCTCAGAGCAGACCGAACTCCCCGCAACAAAGTCAACTCTCTTTGGTGTCGGGAAGCGGGGGCGCCGGAGAATGATTCCTTCATTTAAAATATTACCGTTCGTTTCTTTTGGGCAGACGTCCACTTTCTCTTTAATATTTTATTTGTGCGTAAAGATGACAGGGGTTTTGGAGGTCCTGGGTTGAATCATCGCCTGTAGTCGATATCTACTCATTTTGTTCGCTGGAAAGTAGGCGTGAAACTTTTTCGACGGTATCGCATCTCTGGCGAAGGCATGAAGCCGAAAAAGGCGCGCCGCTGGGATCTTTTGACAAAACACGAGCCTTAGGGCATGATCTCGATGGGACAGGTCGATGCCAGATCCCAGTACCAGATCCCCTTGAGACAGGTCCCTATGCCCATGCGACAGGTCCCTGAAGCTACGTGAGTACTGTCGGCCGCTAGTCCTCATGGCTGATAACCAGACGTACCATCACGGTACGCACGCCTCTAGTGGCCCCGAAAACGCGTCTTCGCCGAGTTTTCCGCTGCCCGACGACCTGACCTTCAACACCCTGTCCCTCGTTCAAGTCATCGTGTACTCGGTGCTCTTCGTCGCGGCCGCAGCTGGCAACGTGTCCGTGTTCTTCAGCCTCTTCGGCGAGAGACACCGCAAGTCCAGGATCAAGCTGATGATTCTGCATCTGGTTGTGGCCGACCTAATCGTCACCTTCGTCATGATTCCGCTGGAGATCATCTGGAGGCTCACCGTGCAGTGGACCGCGGGCAACGTCATGTGCAAGGTGATGCAGGTGCTCAGGGCGTTCGGACCCTATCTGTCTTCGATGGTGCTCGTGTGTATCAGCGTGGACCGCTACTTCGCCGTGCTGCATCCGTTCAAGGTGCACGATGCTCGCCGAAGGGGAAGGATGATGCTCGCCGCCGCCTGGTATACCAGCTTGGTGTGCAGCTCCCCACAGGTAGGGGTCGCCCTTGTGTGCACATTTCCAGCGCTTCACCTAGAGGCGCAAAACGCTGAGTCACTGAGCTGTAGACGCAGGCGCGGCGTCATACATCCGCAGAAGAGAGCTTCCGCGTGTGCTCTGAGACCACGTAAGGCCACGTATTATGAGGTCAGTGTCACGTGATTCAGGGTGAAATGTAGGGTGTAACGGAACATCACGGTGTCCCCAATGTCGTTAGATCAAGTGTCGCTGGGTGTCAAGTCGTGTAAACGTGCCGTTGCACAAGTGACCACGTCGCGTGACGTCAGGCCGTATGACGTCACGGTTTCATGTGACACTGTGTTACGTGACATGACTTCACTTGACGACATGACGCCACTTAACCAGGTAGCGTCGCGCCAAATTATGTGACACCACGACTTGACAATGTGGCGTCGTGTGATGTGAGGTGATGTAACGTGACACTGTGCCATGTGACGTGATTTTACGCCGTGACGTCACGTGATTATTCAGAGTGTGCAAATGAAACAAATCATCATGAAAACCCACCGTTCTTAATACAACACAATTCGGCAAATAACGGTATCAAAATACAGGATGTCACCCGCCACAAAATTTAGTGTTGTTTCCGCCGAAAAAATAAATATGCATCGCTTAACGCTCATTCTCGGCCCAAATGTAGTTCTATTGGTTCGAACCAGGTGCCAAAGTTTCAAAACTAACCGTTATCTCAATAAAAAGTTATAGGGGATTTTTTAGAAATTTTTAATGGGATTAATGGCAGCCGACAGAGCTCTAGAACACATGGAGCTCCACGGCGTCGGTTACCGAAAACGGACAAAAATGGGCGCCAGTTCCTATAGAAATGTTCAGAAAATTATCTTTAAATTATGACTGAAATAACGGTTAGTTCAGAAAATTTGGCATCTAGTTTGAGCCGCCAGTGCAACATTTGGGCGTTCGGTGATGTATAGTTTATTTTTGCGGAGACAAAAAAAAAATATATATATATATATATATATATTACTTTTCGGCACACGCTCTACAGCTGCCAATTATTTCAGGGCTCCGTCACAGTGGCCTCCCAACAAAATGATGGCTACTACTCTGAAAATTCAGGTGCTAGGGACATGGTATTCTGGTTGCCAAACAGACCGTGTTGGTCTATGGTCTCTTCTACAAAGTTCAGCTTCGCTTTTATAGAAAACGGCGGTTACTAAATCTAAAAGTCGTAATACGATTACTTAAGATAACATAAAAAGTAACCAATAGAAGTAACTTAGCTTACAATTCATACCGTGGTAGAAGGTAGTTCTACAACCACAGCGCAAGCAACGACTCTGAAGTCACAGATCAAAACGGGAGGATCCCCCCCGATAGGTTACTGGCTGAAAAAATGTGTAAACTCATGTGTGTTTCAGCGCGTATGTTGTTTTTTTTTTTTCCACCATATGGTCTTGCTTGTGCATTTGTGCGGTCAAATTAGTTGGAGTGAATGTGTTTGCGGGCAACTCTTTATGTGTATTATAAACAAATGCATACATAAAAATGAGTTGTTCCAACTTTCTTTTGAACATTCATGGGTCGGTCGGTAAGTATATAGCTTCGATTCGTTTCGTTGTAGTCTTACATAGACTGATTTGTCTGGTTTTTCATCCTTAAACCCTGGTTGAAGCTTTATAGAATAAACGAACGAAGTATTCAAAGGAACAGTTTGGGGGGTTGCAGTACCCAAGGCTTGTTCTGTGTTTGTTGTCTTTTTCCCGAAGAGTGCGGTTAGCAATGTTTACCAGGGAGCAGTTTTACCTTCAAAGACGCGTGTGTGTGTGTGTTTGTGCGACAACATGTGGATGTTTCTGCACGCGGTGCGGATTTAAAGATGTGTTCGTACGTGCGTGGAGATGTATATGAATGTTTTTATGCGTGTGTTGTTTTTACACGGGAATATGCGTGAGTCGATCTGTGTGAACGTGTTTGTACGTGTGTGTTTGATTTATTGTGTACGGGTGCACGTACCTTCGTGTGTAGGTGGGTGTGCGTGTGTGTATGACCCACCTTCTCGTCTCCCCAATCTCACAAATGAGGAACTAGACGGTTCATACTATAGGACAGGCGTTTTAATCCGGCTTCGATCTTTACGCAGCACGCCTCATACCCCTCCCGAGATCCCAAGAAGCCGACGCGTCACCCAAGTTAAACTTATGCGATGTGCCACATGACCATATAAGAACACGTGAGTTGCTATAAGAACTTACATAAGACATAATTTCTATAAGAAAGTTTCCTAGAAGTGGTCGCCAGGAGATGCGGTAGCATTTTGCGTCCCCGCTGACTTCCGGTCAAATCAAGGGACATACAAACCCCAACATAGCAGTGCTCCTCGCAAACGTCAATGTAATATTTTATCTGCTATTCTCCTGGTGCTTCGCTAAAGGATCAGATAGTGAGATATTCCTTGGAATTTGTTTTTAAAATACTATTGTAAGATCAACAAACGCGCACCCCTTTCATCTTGCATAGCACGGTACAGAAGGACGTTGCTAATCCTCCAACCTGCTCATTGCTGCAGCATTTACGTGCCTTAGCAATCGTGGCATAAGCAAAGCTCGAAAGGCCTGCCTAAAAAGGAGAGACCCGAAGTCCCTCGGGAGGCAAGGCGCGCCTTGTGTTTGTAAACACAAAAATGGTCCATTATATAGTTCCGTAATGTCTATTCGAAAATCAGATAGGGAAATGTTCGATGTTTCCAATGTCGTTACCCCCTCCGCACCCCAGGCCTTCATCTTCCGGGTGATGGAGCACCCGGCCATGCCGGGTTTCTACCAGTGCGTCACGTTCGCCTTCTTTCCGTCGCCGTGGCACGAGCGCGCCTACAACCTCTTCTGCCTGCTCGTGCTGTACGGAGTGCCGCTGGCCGCCATCATGCTCTGCTACGGCTGCATCCTGGCAGAGATTCGCCGAAGCTCCACCGAGTCCGCCGGTAAGAGTCCCGCGGTAGTGGCGACCTACACTCTCAAGAAAAAAGGGTATAAAAGGGTACATCGTTACACCCCTGTGTCCCATATAATGCACCCGAAAACTTCATTTCGACGTACACAGCCCTATAGTCGAACAGACGGCCCCAAATTTTACGAGGGGCATGATAACGGTGCGATATAACTTATTAATCCGCTAAAGTACGTATCAAAGACCACATAAAGAAAACACCGAGTTTTTACAGTAGGGCCAAGAAAACTCCGATTATTTTTTTTGTAGTCATGTAACACATACATTAGGTATTTTAATAAGTTGTACCACACGGCTATCAAGACCCTCGTAAAATTTGGGGCCGTTTGTTTGACTGTAGGGCGCTGTACGTTGAAATGAAATTTGGGGGTGTATTATATGGGACAAGGGGTGTAACGATACACCCCTTTTTTTTTTTTAGAGTGTACGCGACCAAGAGCGTAGCTGTGGTCGCCCTTCCACGATCCGCGAAACGCTCACTAGGAGGTCTTATCGAAATAAGAGGAACATCAGACTGTCAACGTTGACCGTGTTGTTTACGTACCACCAAAATCGTCGCTGGCAATCGATAATCCTGGTTGTGATGACACGACAGATAGGAACTACAAAGGGGAGTCACCGAAGCATCTGGTCGCCGGTACCGGAATATGTAAAAACATTGAAAACATTTTTTAAATATTATTTTTCCTAATGAGCGACGGAAGATACCGATGAAAAAAAATCTGTTTCTATACAGATTCACGAGCCCTCGGTGCTCCACAAGGCAAGCAACGGCAACACGAGAACAAAAAATAATAATATAAATTTTAAAAAAAGCACGCCCGTTTTACTGCATACAGGCGTTGTACGGATTTATACAGTGTTAAGACATGAAAGTTTTGTTTCCAGGGGTGACATCACTTAGAAGGCATGCAAGATGATTGAGTAATCCAGGCAGTGGGCATGTAACTCTTTGGCGTCCAAAGTTAGTACGCGATCTAGGAACATGGCACGGGTGTATCTGACGAGTCTGATGAACCGAGTTTTGCAATCACTCAACCGGTCTCCGAAGGTTACTATAGTCATTTATTAAGGAACGCCGGGCTCGTTATCTTTACGTTTATGTGATCTGGATGTGTTTTTTGTGCGTTATCATCGGCTAATAGAGAGTTTTGTTAGATTGTTCTACATGACTCCGATAACGATGTTCGATCCTCCGCCGAAGCCTTCCCGTGCGTATCGTATCGGAACAATCTACTAAGACTCTCTAATGCCACAATCTTCATGGCCGGGTAGCGATAAAAATGTGCTAAGGACCGGTCACGGTCTGCGGTCAGTGACTACACACCAACTCGGGCCTCTGAAGTCACGCAACTAAGGTGGCGCTGCTGTCGGCACTGCGCATGCGCTTTATCGCGCGCGAGTCTGGTTTCTGCGCACATGCAGTACACCCACACCGGGTGTGGGCAAAGAGGGTAAGCAGCTTGTTGGTCCATATACACACTCTAATGCCCCAGTCCCACTATAAGGCGACAAACCAAACGAGTGCGACAGAAAGCCTCAAACCAGAGTCTTTCGCGATTTGACAGGTTTTGCAGAATACAGCAGGCTGTGTTGAAACAGGAGCATCATGGACGCGAGGGTATCTTTGGAGGGCTTACAATCCCTCGTGCTCACTTCGCGAGCACCGAACGAGTAAACGCCTGCCAAAGGTACAGTACCATCGCGAGCATGATGCACGTGTTGGAGGTTCGTCACTGTCCTTTGTGTCTGTTTGTCGCTCTAGTGGGACTCGGGCATGGGGAATCGTCTGCAACTCCCGCAAAACACTCGGGAGACCCAAGCGCTGCATAGGGAGTATTCACTGGACGCCATATTTGTGGGTGCTCTTTAGAGCGCATGCTCAGAACGAGCTCACATCAATAGGCTGCTAAGACCGGCACTCTTCATGGTGCGGAAGGCACGTTGCAAACGAACTGTGGAAGCTCGCCATCAGCACGCGCTCAGCATTCGCGCACAGAGCTATAACCGCCAGTGAATACTCCCTATAGGGATCTCGTCGAATAGCGAAACCGATCCTATATGTTCAGACCTACCGAAGATGGCGTTTCACCATGCTCACTGACACAGCGCAAACAGCCGTTTCTCTTCATATATATATATATATATATATATATATATATATATATATATATATATATATATATATATATATATATATATATATATGCCAATGTTGCTTGATGAACTTTTGAAAAGGTGCTATTCTCCACATGTTAGAAATTAGCAAAGCTCCGCGAGGAGCCGGACTTTTTTTTTCTCCTACGGTTTTCAAAGTACACTCCCAAGTACACGCACACACACATATATATATATATATATATATATCTGTGTGTGTGTACTTGGGAGTTAACTTTGAAAACCGTAGGAGAAAAAAAAAGTCCGGCTCCTCGCGGAGCATTACTAATTTCTAACATGTGGAGAATAGCACCTTTTCAAAAGTTCATCAAGCAACATTGGCATGTGACGGCTTGAAGCTGAGCTTCTTGGTTGATCGCTATACGTACGTTGCCGTCTGCGAACAGTCAGCAGCCTGCACGACTCCCACGCCGCTGGCTGGGGTTCGATCCCCGCCAGCGCTTGTGCTTTTTATCTTTCTTCGTTTTGCATGACTGCGATGTTCTGGTTCAGCTTCAGCTTCAGAAATCTCGCGAGTTTACTTCTCGGGACACCTCCTCAGAATCCTTGTGCTGGGCAGCAGCGGGGCGCATCCACAGTCCCTCCCATGCATAGCGAGGTGCCCCGGCGGAGATGATTTGACAGATAGCGCATGTTCTCTGAGCCTTACGTTAATGCATCATCCGGACTGTCCCACATAAACCTTCCGCCAGGTGAACGGGATCTCATACACTACTCCACCGGAGTGCTGAATTATTAGAGGGCGCTTGTTAAGTAACGAACGATTTTGTTAGAAATAAGTAAGATTTGTTTTGGAAAAGTCTATCTTCCTACAGTTGCGTCGGCAGTGTTTTTTTTATCTGCCTATGTTTGTGTCTGCATTTTTTGGGCGTCTTCCGCCCCCACTCGCGGGCGGCTTCGAGCAGCCGCGGGGGTCGGTGGAGAAGGGTCGGACCCCGGTCGTTAAGAAACGTCTCGGGTTTCGAGAGGGGGTGCGGGGAGAACACGTGTGAAGAGCGGCTTGCGGCTTTTATCCGAATGTGCCTGTATATAGAGGGTTTTGCCGCTTAGTGTAAAATTGTCGCTTTTTGCCCGATGCAATAACTTAGCGGTTGGTGCCAGTCAGACTGGGAAATTTGCAGAGAACAACTCGACAAGGAATTTAGGTTTGACGGTTTCAGCGTCAGGATGACAGCTCGCCGACCATTGGACGACAGTGTACCAAGTGGGAGTGGTGAAATTTGAAGTGATATATGTCCAAATTAAAACAAAATCGACGAACACACGTATGTTTCTTCCACATTTAAAATAAGCAAACATTTTAAATGCATCTCTGCAGAATATTTGAAATCGCCAGATCAAATTATACCTATCCTATTTCGAACAGAAAGAAGTGGTAAGACAGTATCTACTCTTTGACCCTTCGGTAGCTTTTGTCTGCCTGCATTTGCTAACTTAAGGCCTCACGCATGGACCGCTTGAAGCGTGAAATCTTTCACTTCCATTTTCTTGACCCGAAGTGCCAACAAGGAATGGAACATCTTCCCAATGACGCGCTCCGGCGATTGAAAACTAATGACTCTCACCCACCCGCTAAATATCTCCGCCGCCAAACAAAAAAAAAAAAAATCTTTTTACTTGCATTGGTGCGACACCAAAACACCAACAAAGAATGGAACATCCTCCCAAGGACGCGCTGGGGCGATGTACAACCTATTACTCACTATCGCGATAACCCGCAAAATACCTTCGGCCCCCAAACAAAAAAAAGAAGTAGAAAAAAAAAATCTGTTTCGAGAGGCACTCTTCCTCAAAATCCCCACTCTCAACCCGACGACCTTGAAGATGCAAGTAGTCCGGGGCGCAATAACACATTACGTAATTTCAAGAGCAAGTATTGCGGGCACACTCATAGATGGTGCCATCTGACAGCTGGATTTTTTGACGTTTTGATAGGCTACAAACTTAGTTGAATTTTATTACAATGAGAATTTCTGGAAAAAAGATCTTTTAAGAGATATATTCAAAAAGTCCTGGTATTGAATGTTGTGGTGCCTAAATTTATATTTAGGCCCCGGTTTATTTTTAAATGTTTATGAAGCCCGGAACGGAGAAAAAAGGCTTTTTCAATCATCTTTAAGTTCCTGTAGAACATTTTAAGCTTAAATATCGAAAAATGTAGCGCCACAATATTACTCAGCTTTTTTATTATCTTTCTAATAAAACCAATCCCAAGTCAATCCGTGCAGTGGTTCTTGAGAAAAAACACTAAAAAGTTGCCATTGAAATTGCATAGGGCTCGGGAGGTGCGATATCCTCTTAACACGGAGCGTCCGAGGTGAGCGTGCCCAAAGGAGCACGCGCGCTGACCGGCGACGAAAAATACGCAGTAGACGACAAAGGAAGCGGACGAGCGGCTTGTATGCTTTCGCATTCACAGCAGATAAGAAGTGCTTATGTATAACCCGATTTTTTTTTTCATTTATATTACAATTAATTTACTTGAGGGTGCTGCCCCTTTAAGATAGACAACTTCCTTGTGGTATGGAAGGCGCACTCACACAGTTGTCCACCGTCGCCTCATTAGCAAGGGCCTCCAGGATTTTTCTAGCGGTTTCTTGCCAGGATGTTTAGGCTAGAAAACTCTGGCGCACACTGACACGCACAGGACAATAGGCGGGTATATAGGTGCCCTGCTGCTGTGATGGCCATCACTGAAGCTGCATATTCCCTCGTCCATTCATTGACGCACCCTCCAGTCCGTCCAATGGAACATTGTCCGAGTTCTCGCCGAGCGATGACGCCGGCCTCCTGTCC